ATGATATACACTCTTTCTTTCTCTTTTATTTCTTCAGTCGTGCAGTCTTTCATTCGTCGAAGAAACGAGGATACGATGTTTTAATACAGTTCAGTTTTAACGCATGCGAAATATATCGAAAACGAACGTGTATGGAAAATTGAAATATTTAAAAAAAATTTGGACGCAAAATAATTATAATCGATTAATTCATTGAAATTTTTATTCTTCGACTACTTTTCGAATAATATTAAAATGATGAAAGATATTCTTTTTTTTTTTTTTTTAAACTTTATATATATCCATAAAAAAATGGAAGAAGACACTAGATAGCACTTCTATATCCTACTTCTCCTCCATTGTAAGTCAGCCTTTTGTATCCATGTGTACTCGATGCGAGTACATAGTTGTAGGGGAAGATTACTAGAGATAGAAGTAGAGATTCAAGTATATAATTCTTCTCGAGATTGCATATTTTCCAAGAACAATACAACTATATATACATATACATATATATATACAACTATATATTGCTAGATTTAAATATTTTACGACGATTTTACGGCGAGATATTGCCGCAATATAATAAAATGTCTCATTTACATTAAATTAATCTCTCTTTCCAATAATTTTTAACTTTTTCCACTTTCATTAAGATACGGGTAATTACGGATTATTACGTACGAAGAAATATTCTTTTCTCCTTTAAATAAGAAAAGATAATAAAAAGTACGAATGTATCCGCTATACTCTTAATTTATCGAATCAATGAATCACGATTAATCACTTTCAAGAAGATATATTCGCCTTCTTTCGCTCGTTTCACAAAAAAAAAAATTTCTCCCAAACTCGGACACTGCACAAGATAGATTCAGGTTACACGAGATTTTCATTTCGAATCACTCGATCAGCAATCGTTGCTAAATTATCTCTGGAATATCTGACGTTATCTCTGTATCTGGCGCGAGTAAATCATTTACATTTGCATTCGCTTCCACTCTCGTAATAACCGCTCTTATAAGCGGTGATTTCGTTATCGGATTAATGTGCAGTTTGATTGAAAAAAAAAAAAAAAGAGGCATAATAAAAAGAGAACGATCGAAGAAAGAAAGGGGGAAGAGGGGATAGAGCGAGGAAAAAGAAAAGAAAAGGAAAAGAAAAAAAAAGGAAAACAGGGGAGGGGAGGGGAGGGGAAAAAGAAGAGAATGAAGAAGATAGCGGTGTGAAAGATGACCTTAAAAGAATCTGCGTCGAAAATGAAAAATGCATTGAAACTCTTTCGTCCTCATTTACTCCGTGCTCCATTACCAGAGCATTTTCTCTCGTACGCCAGCATGGGGGGGGGGACAAGGAACCACATTTAAGCGGCGAAATATCTTTTTTTCCCTTTTTTTTTTTTTTTTATTCCGTGAAAACGGCGGCTTTACGACGGAAAAAATGGGACCGCGGGAAATGAGGAAACATCGAAAGCCACCGGAAAACCTTTAACTGTGCGTTTCAATCATGCGACACGGCATTCCTTTAACTATGGTTAAATCTAGGTGAAGATCGTAATTGCGTTTAAGTACAAAAACTTGTGCTTAAATGTTGAATATCGAGAAGAAAACGGGACCAACGTTTATTCAAGAACTTTTTTCTTTAACTATAACTGAATATTTAATTCTGATTATTCAAGTTAAGAAGTTGTGATGTTTAGAAGATGGAAAAATATTGTTGGTATTTTGATATCGAATTGTAAAATAACTTATATCACCGTTTAAAAATTATTGGCAATTATAGAAATTATTTTAATTTCATGTTATAAAGTGTATATTGTATATCGGATTTCTCAAGTGAAAATTCTATCCAATATTATTTGAAATAGTTTTTTAGATTGAACACTTATTCTGTCACGAGGGAATTCTTATTGTTCATTTATTCTAGAAAAAAGCGCTATTTTCAAATTAACTTCTTGAAAAAGAAAAAAAAAATTTAATGATAGAAAATTACTTGCAAATTACTACAAAATTGCAACTGTAACAACCTAATTATTGTATCACGTAACATAATACGTAATATAGTAAACATAATAAACAGAAACTTACAAACTTACAAACAAAATATCATCATTTTTTTTCAGATTTATTCGTTTCTTTAAATTTTAGAATCAGTAAAATAATTGAAGAAATAACAAAAATAGGAAATTCTTTTAATAATTTTATAATCCAAATGAATTTATAATTTAAATTATTTTGTTATAACAATTGATTAAAAACAAAGAATAGAATGGAATGAAATAAAATAAGATGGAAATCATAAAAAAAAAAGAGAATACATAAGTGCAAAAAGTTATAGCAAAATGAAAAGAATGAGATGAATGAATGTATTGAGATAAAAACGTAAATCAAATCAAACTTTTTTTTGTTCAGAAGTTGAAATATAGATTGAAATAAAGATTATTTTATTTTCTACATTAAAAATTCGATAAAATAAATTAATTTAAAAAAAAATTGCAAAGAAAACGTCACAACATTGGTTCTTGACAAATTAAAATCAAAAAAAAAAAAAAAAGAAAAGAATAAGCACAATAAAGTCGAGTCGACGATCTTCTTATTTCATATTCTATGCCCAAATGGTGGTGCACCTTTCCAGAACGAACTTTTCCATCTATTAGACGCGATTCTATTTCGTGGTAATGGGAGAAACGAGCACGTAAATTGAACTGTCACACGGAATTAACGTTAACGAGAAAATCGTTCGCAAATCCGTTTTGCGACTTACGTATTTGCAATCTCTTTGCTTTGTCTGTGCCTCCGGAGTTTTGCCTATGTTCGTTCGTGCGTGATAATTTGCGCATACACAAGGTTACTCCCCCGGGATAGTGTGCTTTGAACGTTTTAAAAGCGAGCGCTTCCTAAGGACCGTGCTTCTTTTTTTCCCGACAAAAAGAACACACCGAAACTTGTACGGCATCGCTGGAACACCGTTAACACTTTGCGAACGAAAATTTTGATTCAACGTTGAATCATTTATTCTCGAATGTTACGAAAAAGAAGTTTGACAAAAATTTTAAACGTGATAGTTAATCGAAGATTTATAATCGATTCCTTCCTTTTATCGATATTTTTTCGATTGCAACGAGAATCGCGACAATTTTTAAAATTCTCTAGAAAACATATACATTGAGAAATTTCTAATAAAGATTCGTGCTCTTTTCGATAAAAAAAAAAAGATTAATTAATTAATTATCATTATATTATAGTATGTTAGACATTAATGAAATAAAATTTATGAAAATTTACACTTCACAATACGTAATTTTTAATCCAGAATCTGTGATAATGATATGAATTTATAACAAAAGACAATTATTGTATTACACCATTAATGATTAAAAATTTAGTGAAAATCTTAAGAGGCCTAATTTCTAATCAAGAATCTGTGATTGTGACGTGAACCAATAAAAAAGAGCAATTGGTATAATCGTATTACGATACATGACATTAACGATTAAAATAGCCAGCAAAGTAGCGAGGACAGGATATTGTGTGATATATAACGTCAGATTCGATTAATGCCGCTCGGTCGCATGGAAAGAGCGTTGGAGTCTAGTAGGCGGTTGATCGTGTAGTCCTCGAACGAAAGCAAACATTCTTGTCGAGAATGTACGTGTACGTAAGCTGTCGATCGTTACAGCCGCACAGTATAATGCACTCTAAATGAACGTATCGCGGTGCATCGATCGAGTCCTGTAAACCGTTTGACAGGTAGCACACGGTGTTTAATTGGCAAGCATTTAAGAGAAATTTCACGAAACAAGTACACTGTGGTCACTACATCGATCGTGATGCGCGTTGCGCGTGACATTTGCCGCTTGTTCGCCGAGAAGGTAAAAAAATAAAAATTGTCATCGAAACTAGTCGAGAAGAAATTGTCCGAGACGATCGATTCGCGATGGTTGCATGTCTAACGTGTTGTTCCTGTTTTTCTCTTTTGAATCGAAACGGTACTTACTTGAACCCGGCAGACCATCAAGACGCCCAGCAGTGCGGGCACCAGCATCCCCTTCATCTTTCTTCCTTGATTGACTGTTCGTAAAACTCCTGCACGATGTGTCGTTTGGATTCCTCTCGTAATGATTCCTGGCTTAGCTCGATCTTCTACGAAGAAACGACGATGCACTGATTAACAAACGCCAGAAACGTTGCAGAACAAATTTCTATATGCAAGACACCACTCACCCGCCGTATACGAGAGCACAGCGTACTACTGTGACACTGCTGCTGGGTGGGTCGCTTTACGAGAAATCAAGATGGAGGTGAAGCGCGGCGCCGGTGCCGCTGAAACGATTCGACCAATCAAAAGCTGTCACTAGATGACCGCGCCGGAGGGTGCGTTCACATGCGCGCAATGGTCAGTCGATAATGTGGCGGGAATATCGTGATTTTAAATGATACACTTCACCGTGCTATGTAATTGTCAACTTTTGACAGATTTTCCGGCGGAAATGTTGCTTTCAACAAAACATCTGACGGCTATTCTATTCAAATATGTTAGTATTAATCAATAAAATAGCTTTTATATGAAAAGATAATTTAAAACATAAAAATTAAAATTTATATAAATTTATATATTAAATTCTAGGAGATTCTTTATCTAAATTTAATTATATAGGTTACATTTAAGATAAACAATTCGAACTGATTGTATTTAAATAAAATTTATTTAAATAAATTTATATGTTATATTATATTATATAATATATTATATAATTTAATTTTTACATAAAAATATAAAAAAAATTAAATATAAGTATTATTTATTGTTCTCAAATCATTGTTTCAATGTCAGATTATTTATTTCTTTATTTTTCTTTGTCCATTTAAAATATTACTAAAAATCATTCAAAAAACTATTGGAAGAAAAATAGCAGACAGAATGACAATTAAAATAGCAATTATTTACATTATAATGAAGATAATTTTATATGATTAATAATATTCTAAAATGAAAACATTTAATATTATCTATATAATAATCATTGCTTTAACATATGTAATAAATGTTAATCGAATCGTATGTGATTACCATTCTGAATCGAAACACGATTAACAACGCATAATTGCATAAATATTCAATTAAATGATAAATTTAATCTATATTTCAAAGGTTTCACGCATTTGATATAGGCAACCAAAATATCCAACATACGTATAGAAAGCCTAATATCAATCGATGATAAAGTTTGGCGCGTGATTCGTCGCAGTCAACTGACACTTTCGAACGTTTCGATTTCCAACAAAAAATAAAATAAAATAAACCTAACAATATATCCATTCACGATCGAAAGAAAACATTGTCGAAAGTATTCAATCTCATTCGATCGATTTATAGATGTACTTATCTATCATATAGTCACCATTACACACCGTATAACGGTATGAATATAGAAAGAATAATATTCCGCGCTATGACATCATTTATATTCGCCTCTAATACTTAACCACGCTGTAATACGCAATCAAGACGAGACAGAGAGGGATTGACGAGAGAGAGAGAGAGAGAGAAGAGACGAAGACGAAATCAAACGGTATACAATGCAATATCGTGAGCAGCATATTATATTAAAAACTTTTTAAGCTTGACAAATTGTCTGAGACTGTATCGTTGCATCCGCTTACTTTCGGTACTCATTTTTTACGATTTAGAGAAACGTACACATATATCTTATCAAAAGTCTCTGGGCATTTCGTTTTGTTAACAACCGCATACCCTAGTCTGACTTTTCTATTTTTCGTCTAAGCCACCGGACCCAGGGAAATTACACATTCCGCGTGGTTTCATCTGTTTTTCTTCTTCCCCGCGCCCCTAACCTCACTGTCTCTCCTTTTATACATACCTTCATCTCTTTCTTTTTTTCAGGAAAGCATGAAAACGCACGAGCAGATAGCCTTGGCCCATACCTTTGCCCGTGTGTCGGCCACCGTACCCACTGGTTACCCTGGAACGGTATCGATTTCAACCCTCAGCTATGCAGTAGAAACCAGCGGCACACCATGGGGGTCTCTTCATCCCGAGTTTCGACAAGACAGCCCGTTTAAACTACCCGATTACACCAACCTCCATCTCTATTACCGTCTTACATTTCGTTTCGCGTACTTCACAAAATTCAGTTCTTCGAATGATGTTTGAGGTTAGGGGACACTGTGAAATTAACGGCGAAATTTGGAACTATTACGAATTACTTTTTTGATTCGATGATTTCCGCTTTTATAGGCGGAATTCTTTTAGCGTATTTACTTATGTTAATATAAAATCCTCTTTAATATACGAAAGATGTTTATGGAACAATATTATATTCAGTTGAAAAATAAATGCATTATACTGGTTGATATAGAGATCTAAATGTCCCAACAACGAATACAAGATATTCTATATGTGTATATAAGCGCAAATTTAATTAGTTTTTTAAATTTAGGATAATTATTTAGAAAACAGGACAAATATTTAATAAAAATGAAAAGGTCATGTAAAAAGAATCTCGTATTTCGCAATGTGAAATTTTAATCTTAATAATAGCGCGAATTTAAAAATTAAACATAAAAAAAGCAAGAGTATCAATTAAAAATAATATACACGCGCTTTTCTTAAATTTTTTGTATGTTTATTATATAATTAAATTCCTTTTATTATAAACTATTATTTTACATAAAACGAAAAAATTGAATTAACATCGGTCGATCGATAAACGTAAAAATACCACAGAAGAGTTCATCTCTTCATGGTTTCTGTTCCTCGTGAACTTCATATAATCCGCAAACTTTATTAGCCGGTAAAGCTTTATCTAAAAGGGTAAACAAAATTTTATGCTTATAAAAGTTTAAAAAGTAGTAGTAGTTGCAGAAATATCAAGCTTTGTCGTGATTTTTAAATAAAACTTTGAAAATTATATAACGCTTTAAATATATAATACGTAAACGAATTAACATACCTATCATTTTTGGATAAGACAGATTAAGATTATTCATTATGTTCACAAATTCATTTAGTGATTTAGATAATCTGGGATTAAGAATCTTCTCCTCAGCCACGGTAGTTACCGTTCTGCCACAATAATCATGGGCTGGATATAACTTAAAATTTTGTGGCAACGTAAAGATTTTTGTATGAATTGATTTATACAAAATCTCCGACGATCCACCCTGTAATAAACAAAAATAATAAAGATTAATTTATTTTTAAATTATACTAAGAATTAATTAAATTTTAAATTATATTAGAAACATTATTAATAGATTGAGAAGTGATTAAGCATTCCGTTTATATTTATTTTTTATTCAAGTTTAAATTTTTATATGGAAAAAATTTAATACAGCTTTCGAAAAGGACAGACAATCTATCTATTAGTCTAAAAAATTCATATTAAGAAATACAAATAAAATAAAATAAAAAGATTGAAATGAATAAAGATTTTAATTATAATAATTGCACAAGTTCCAATGATGAAGATAGAAGTTTGTTTGGGAAGACATTTCATAATTATCTTATCTTCTCTGTAATAATAGTATGTATATTTATTATTGGCAAGATTGGATGCATCTGTGAATACTTTAGCTTTTCACTTTAGTCATTCTATTTTTTTATTAAAAAATATAATATTTTTATATAAATTTAAGAAATCAATAATTAATCAAATTCATTTAAAATAATTGGAATTTATAAATTAATGAAATGCAATTTAATCTAGAAAATTGCCGTTATATATTTTAATCTGTATTTTTGAAAATTTAATTAAATATCATCCACTGGTATAATATAAATAAACCTGTAAAATAAAAAAATAATTCAAAAATATAATATTTTATTTAAATAAATATCAATGATGTGACACTTTTAAAATTATTAGTTTCTAAATAAATGATGCATAATACGTAGAAGTTATCACATACAATATTGAACATACATAATTTTACGTCAGCACTTTTCGTATGAAGTATCCATCGTCGCCAGATTTTAAGATTGAACGCTCTCTACCATCCCTTGCGGTTCATAAATTAAATGTTCCGTAAAATATGATATTTAGAACGTTTTTAACGTTCTTCACGATTGCGTCAATGAAATATATCGAATATAAATATACATATAATAATTATAAAATGAAATCTATAAAAATATAATAGATAGATACAATATTAGTTTCGCAAATAAAACTTTTCTTCGAAATTATAGAATTCTAAGAAAAAAATTTTTTAAAATTCTCTCTAAATTTTTTTTTTATTTACAATAATTTTTATTTTAAAATAATTTATGAAAAAATTAATTAAATAGAGTAAAGAATATTTCCATATATTTTTATATTTATTTTCAATAAAATCTTTGCAATATTTTTTTCAAATTTAAATTTATTGTAAAAAAATCTTTTTATATACAAACCTGGAAATCTGTTCGTCCACATCCACGTATTAAAAGTGCATCGCCAGTAAATGCAATGCCTTGTTCGTAGCAGACATAAGTAACACAACCTATTAAAATATTAATTCATTGATTATAAGCTTACATGGTATTATACTGAAAAACAAATTCATTGAAAATTTGACGATTTAAAATGTAAAATATTAAAATACAAGATTTAATAAATATAAATGTAATGATACAAGTTTTATCGATCAGTTCCTGTTTTTTTTTACATCATTTCTGATGTAATTCAATATTTCGAATATGATAAAACCATGATAAAACTAAAGGTAAAAGTAAGAAAAACATAAATAAACACAAATAAAGTAAAAACAAACTCATAAATCACCAATATAAAATATCATATTGTTGCAGATGAAATATACAATAGTAGAATATTAGAAATAGCAATAATGCATCATGTTGTAACATTAATAAAATACAATAATGTTACCAAAATATCAAAATGAAGAAATATTTTATCTATATGTTAAAAACAAAAAAAAATATAATAAATTAATGATAATAAATAAATATATTGATTCAATAAAAAGATATCTATTTTTTCTAATAAATATTTATATCTTATATTATATATTTATTATTAAAAATGTAATAATATAATATCAGAAGCAAATTTTTCCTGTACTAATTTAATTAATATGCTTCAATATAGATAAAATAATTACCTATAATTAATTTAATTAATAAATTGATTATAAAACATTAATTTTATGAAATGATATTACACCTAATTATTATTTTCAATTATAAATTCATCATTAATTTATATTGTTTATTAATATTTCATTAATGTATCATTGTTATCGTTATATATATTATCATTATTATAATAAATCAAAAGGACGAGATATATTTATAAGCAACAATGTATGTACAACGTGTTAATATATTCATGTGACAGAAAGAGAGTGAGACCGTTCTGTCTCGTTCTCTATCCTCTTATTCAACGCGGATCTAAATTGCTTACAACTTATAATAAATAAATTTCAATTGATATTTTTTACTAACCAGTTTTTATCTTTGTTTTAGGTTCTTAGAAAAGACTCTTCAAATTTGTTCCACGTATATATCAACACTCTGTATAAGACATTCTTAAGCGCACGAGTAAGTACTTCTAATGTAATGAAAAAAAAAAAAAAAGAAAGAAAAAAATATCTGACCTTCGGTGTGTCCGGGTGTAGGAAGCACCTGTAAATTATGCCTGCCGAAGCATATTTGGTCATCCGGATTCAAGAGTATATCAGCCTTAGCGCCGCTGCTACGTGATATCATTGACTGGCAACCAGGTAACAAACACTTGAGCCTTCCTGTTCCGGTGATATGATCAGCGTGCATATGCGTATTTACTGCAAAAGGCATTTACCCATACGGGGAGAGGTTATCGGTCATCACAAATGCTTTTCATTGGCCGGTGGCCATCCTCCTCAAAACTCATTTTAATATTAAAATTTTACTCAGTGGAAGTTCGCTTCTCGCATTCAAAGCTTTTAGATATTTTCATTAATATATTGGTTAATAATACATAACGTAAATAAGAATAAGAGAGAATTATTTCGATTAAGTTTTTCAATTAAATCGTGACACGCGCTTTGCAAAATGAGGGAAGAAATGTTGCACATAATAAGAAAATATTGTTTTTATGTAAAAACCTCGTTCAAAAGCATGAGGACAATTGAAAGATTTAATAATGTCACGTTTTCAAATTTTAAATATAATAAATGATTATTTATCTTTATATATATCTATATGTGTGTGAAATAAAATTATTATATAGTGGAATCTTAGACCTATCAAATTTTTCATCTAGGGTCTTTATTTGCTTGATTATAATAATATCTGAAAGAAGTTATGAAACAATTAATGAATTTCCTTAAACTTCATATTTTGTTTTTATCAACGAGTAAGTATATTTATATTTTATAAATAATCCATAAAATATCTTACCTATGCTATGAATAATAAACATATTTTTTTCATTTATATATATATTCATCTTTTATCACTGTATTTGGAAATTTGGATAATAAACAAAGAAAACTCAGAAGCATATACGGCAGCAGACATATGAGACATCGCGCAATGAGGAAAATCAAGCCTGAAAAGCGGATTGGAGATGTAAAAATGAAATTATGTACAATGAAGATGCATCATAGATATATAAGCAACTAAATTAAATATTTAAATAATTTAATTATATTGATTAGAATATTTAAAGCATATTAAAATATAATAAAAAAAAAAAAAAAATAATAAGCGATCATTCATAAGCACAATTTTCAAAGCAAAATATGATTGAGAATGGTGAATGTCGTCATACTTTTGAACAGAAGTGTTACATAACATAATGTTTTATACAATTAAGCTGTATTATGTTTTTAATTTTTACATTAATTTTTACATTCTTAGCTAGATGAATTTAAATGTATTGATTAAATTTTAAGTACATTCAGATAATTCTTCATAAAAAGAAATTTAAAATTTTGTATCTTTCTGTCAAAAAAATTTTCAAATCATATGCATTTTCATATATCATTTTTATACGTTCTAAGTGTTTTTTTTTTTTTTATAAATTGATTTTATTTTATGATAAATGGATTTACATGTAACGAAATATATACATGTAAATAAAATAATACGATATTTTAACTTTATTAATAAAATATAGATATCACTGAGCACTTCATTATCACAACGACCCTGTTTTCATAACGGTTGTATTATGTTTATAAACAACGATTAATTAAATTAGCACTAATTCTCTCGTCCGATTAGAAAATTTAATTATCTGTAAGAGTAAAATTGAATTAAATTCCATGATAAATTCCGTTGATAATTACAAGATATTTACAAATTATTTAAATAAAGGTTATCATAATCGTTGGATCGAAGATCAATATGTTCGCCATGATCATCGTATCTTTTTGCTCGACGTGTATATAATATTATATTTTAATTTTCAATTATTAATTAATATATAAGAATAAATATTTGAACAATTCTTTGAATATTTTCTCAATATTTTATACTTTAAAATTTATTTGGAAGCGTGAAAAGGACTGTAAAGATAAAAAGTACTTATTATATTCTATTAAACAAGTTAAAATATATTATAAGTTATTCAGTTTCTCGTTTAATCTAATCCCAATATGCGACTGCTTTTACACGAAAAATGGTAATGAATTCATGGAAAAATTCCATTAAATAAAACCATTGAATGCAATTGCGCTTTACAACTATGTCAAAACTTCAATATTCACAAAACAATTTAAAACAGGAAAACATAATATCATTTAATTTTCTTCTTTTAAGCTTTTCTTTTTACTTTAAATTCTTATCAATATACACATTGCTTCGCCCAATTACACGAAACGACTTGTATGTGTATAAACTACGCTTTGACTTTTTTCAATAAACCGATAGCCATATAATTAATGTTTTCAAGTGGACTTTTACGCTTTACTTCGAATGGAAGACTTCGAGTGGCAATTTGAACAATTAAGCGCACGATTTCCTTAATAATACTTGCACTTCATTAAATTATTGAATTATCGATGTGTTCGCGCTCAATAGACCCCAGTTAAGAAGTTTTAACCGACAAGAACGTTTTTGACCCTATTGTATGGGATGATATATCAACCCGTTACATTAAATCGGCATAGTCTCCAATTTCATCGAGATCTTTAATTTATATTTCTTTTGTGTAATTAGATTGAAACAATTGATGATTAATTTAGTTGTTTGTTCAATGTAGTCAAAACGAATCCATTGATAATATATTTATGCGCATGGTTTTAACATTACAAATAAGATTTGATGCGATTTGCGCTTTTTTTTTTTTTGAGTATACAAGATTAACTGAAAACCGTGATTAAGTTGAAAATAATTTAATCAATGTAGATAAATTAAAAATCACGATAAGATTAACATAGATTTTGGAAGATTATCAGAATAATCATTTTGGAAGAAATATAGCTTTAAAATATAAGATTGTTGGACTCGGTGGAAAATAGACCATATTTTACAATATTGTAAATTTACAGCAAAAGTTTTACAAAAAGTAATTTTTTAAAAAAAAAATGCAATATTGAATTGTAATTATTTGAATTGATAAATAATATAGATTCTGTTGGTACATGCTGTTATTAAAATGTTGTTTTATTAAAATTTATTAAAACAAACTTTAAGATATAGTATGCTTTTTTATAAAATAAAATGAAAATTTTGTTGAGAATTATTTAGTAACTAAGAAGAAATGTAGAGGTTGTAATGTTAAAAAACTTGTAAAGTTGAGATGTTTAATAAAAAATATATATTGTACTATAATATTATAAACTTACAAGAAAATTTTTAAGAAAAATAATTTTCTTAAGATATTATTTTATATATACAGTGTATATTTTAACTAATAATTTAATTTAATAAGATGATAAAAACTAATATTAAAGTTTCAAGAATTTGTGTTGTTTGTCATTTTTTTATCACATTTTACATTAAATAAATTTAATTATTGATTTATTGCTTTTTATTTTGATATGAGACATTAAAATTTGAAATATAATAAATAAGAAAAAGAAAATAATATGAAATAATAATTGATATGATAATTGATATTTTGAAAATTATTATCTAATCTTCCTTTCATATATTTATTCATTTGTTTTGAATATGAAGAAATTTTTATTTATTGGAAATATTCTACATGTACTCCTTTTTCATCTCTCAATTGTAAATATTTTTCTTTATTAAACATATGAGAAATCATTTTTCATTAAAACGAAAACATGTGATTTATTTGATAATGTTTGATTAAATTTCAACTGATTAAATTTCATTACGATATTCTAATATTAGTATACATTCACACCAAATGAATGTAAATTCATATATCGACATAATTTAAAAGAGCATATCACAATGATTAATTAAAATGATAATATAATCATTTACATGGCCATCAAATTCAATTACTTCGAAAATATCACTTGTATCATTTTTGGATAAATGGTATATATATTGAAAATTAAAAATATATAATCTTGCGTTAGTATATCTTCATTTTTATAAACATTTAGATAATTATTATTTTCAAGAATAAAAATAAGTTTTATCTCAAACATGTATCGTAAGAACAGAATAATTTATGATAACAAAAATTTAAAAAGATTAAATTTTATTCTAGGCAAAAGTATATTCATCTTTGAATAATTTTCTTTTCTTTTCTTTTTGAAAATTTTTTTTCGCTTGAAAAAATATATTCCATACATTCATTTTATTTTTTTAGGAAAAAAAATTATCCTATTTCCCACAAATTTCAAACAACAACGAATGAATGATTTCTGCGCAAATGTGATTATATTCTCAACTTACTAGCATATTTTAATGTTAATCCCAATTCCTCAATAATGGTTTTATCTCGTTCTGCCCATTCAATGACTGGATCAATTAAAATCGCTGTTTTATCGTTGATATCGGCCAACAGATAAGTGTATGTACAGGATGTGGGATCGAACATCTAAGAATTTTAATTAAAATTTGTTAAAAAAAAAAAAGATCAAAAAGATTTTTATGAGTTTTATGCTATTAAGAAAAATATTGTTTATTAAATAAAATTAAATTAATTAATAATTATTAAACAATATGTTATTATTAAATTAATAAAATATAATTGTTCATAGTAATATATGTTTTGATAACATATTAAATTATTAAGAAATTATTACCAAAATACGTTAACTTTCTGTTTCTCACGACGAAATATTAAATATAATATTAACTGTTGGAATAATTCCAAAACAAGTTTAAACAATCTAATGTATTTGATAAATTATAATTGCAATTATATAGTTGAATATTTTATCTTATCTTTTTTTTTATATTAAAAAATATTCTAACTTTTCAATATTATTAAAAATATTGCTAATATCATAAAAATATTAATTATATACATATATTATTAATATCAAAATAAATTAATATAATAAATTTGATATAATGTATAATATTATCATTTAATATAACATGATTTATATAAATTATAAATTAATTGAATAGAAAAGAAAAAAATACGCAATTAATAAAAATTGATTTCTTGAAAATATTATTAAGTATTTATGTAATAAATCGCTAGATGTCACTATAATTGTGATAATGAAATACATGAACACAAATACATACACAAGTGTTGGAACGTTACTTGCGCAGTTATTGACTTACTTGACGAAACAAAAAGTCTTTTGAAAACGGGATTGGTTCTGTTAACGGTGCACATTTAACACAAGAATTCATAATAATTAAATTATTTTTAACAACTGAAAAGTTTAGGTATTGTTGACACAATTTCTTCAACATATTCAAAATATAAATGATTACGTTATTTATGCCGAAAATAACGTATCCTCACATCACAATCAATAACACTGTAAGAACTTGATGCTTGTTAATATTAAAATGATGTAACGATAAAAACAAAAATCATTTTCTTAATTATATTATCTTGATTAGATACTAAGTCTATCTTTTACTAATGTATATATAACATCGTATATAACATATGACATCATATATATGTGTATATATATATATATATATATATATACATGAAATGAAAAATGAATGCAGTATTTTCATGTATAAAAATAAAATTAAATTATAATTATTTTTTGTTATATTATGTAACAATAAAAAATAATAAACTTTATAAATTTTATATCAAGATTATATTCATAAATAAATACTTAAATTCCATATAATTATAAATAAATGATAAATATAATTTAACCAAGATACATTTCTATGTATTAAAATTTTTTGGTCATTTCCTGTTAGTACAGCCATTTTGTAGTTTGCTTCTAGCACCATCTTTAACTATCTCTTTCCGGCTAGCTTTCGAAGAAAGGTATGTACTTTAATTAGTTTTTACGTTATTTTAGAATACTATTTTAAAAAAAAAGATAGTACAAATTATGATTCAAAATAGTTAATACAATTTATACAATATGTATACATATTTTTATGTGCACGATGATTCAATTCCGTTATATTTGTTATTCTAATACACGTGTATATGAGTGTACAATATTTGCAATATTAATCTTAAATTTATTTATAACTTTTCTTTCAGATGCCTTCCGTAACGCTTAAAGACGTTGACCAGCACAAATTCGTAAAAGCTTTTGCCGCGTTTTTGAAAAAGTGAGCAATTGTTTTTATAGTACCGAATACATAACCTTAAAAAGTGTTGTGAATAAATAACGAAATAACGATATATTCTCAATTTTTTTAAATATCTAACTATTTAATTTATTGGAAATTTTAGGACAGGTAAAATGCGAGTTCCAGAATGGGTAGATATTGTAAAATCTGCACGATTCAAGGAACTTGCTCCATATGATCCAGATTGGTACTATATTAGATGTGCTGCTTTAGTTCGTCATATTTATATTCGAAGTCCAATTGGTGTTGGAGCAGTAACAAAAATTTTTGGAGGACGCAAACGTAATGGTACTCATCCTAGCCATTTCTGTCGATCAGCAGGTGGTGTTGCTCGCAAAGCTCTTCAGAGCTTGGAACAACTTAAACTCATTGAAAAATCTCCAGTTGGTGGACGTAAACTTACCAGTCAAGGCCGTAGAGATTTAGATCGCATTGCTGCCCAAGTCAAAGCAAAAAGCAAAAAACAACTTAAGTTACAAGAAACTCTTGTTCTCTAATTTCTTTATTCTATAATAAAAATTAAAAAATCGTACATTTATATTCAAATTTTATTTATTCTACTTCTATAAGTTAATTTTAGAAGTTTTAAATAATTTAGTGATAACAAATAACATAAATGTCACAAAACAATGTGCTATTTTTTTAATTGTTTATAAATTATCATAATTGATAAAAATTTTTAATTATAAATAGATAAAGTAATATTATAAATATAAATTTATAATTGTGTATTTTATATCTAAATGTATCTATTAATCTAAATATAAGTAAATATGCATACATATTGCGATATTCATAAACAAAAATATGAATTGCAATAAAATCGTAAGATAGCAGCACTGTCGAATTTGATGCGAATGACTTTCTATATAATCGTAAATTTAATGGTGAAGGTATAAGTGTATACAGCGCCGCCTCAGTAAAACTTTGACCGTGAACGAAAACGTTTCGGCACCGATCAGGTTGATTTTAGATCGAGTGACGAATAGGTGTAAAGAGATTTTTATAGGACGCAGCCGCGTACGCGCGTAAAAGTGTGTATGCAGCGTGAGCCGCGCGAAGATAGAAAAGATGCAAAATATGTTTCCTCGCGGCCACTGCGGGAAACTTCGAGCGACCAAAATGTTAAAGAAATAATCGTGTCGCGCAAGTGTCTCTCGCTGGTAGAGAAGACAGATCGTGTGCTTGAAGTTTCTTTCTCTCTCTTTCTCTTTTCAACCCCCTTCCTTCTCTTTCTCTTTGTGTCCTTCCCCCCTCCCGTCGACGCTCCTCTCTGGGTCCGTTCGTCGCACCGGGACGACGTTTACCGTGCGTCACGGGAAACGGCATTGGGAGGAGACAGAAGGTGACAGCCCTCCCACGGAATTTATGGTGCACACGGGAGAAACGGTGAAGTGAGTAGTGTTAGAGTGAAGTGAGTGTAACGGCACTAAGTGCTAGACCGGTGAAAAAATTTTTGGGGGTCTCCATCATTCCGGCCAATATAGGTGGAAAGAGAGAAAAAATGCCGGGCCTAATCGCCGTAAGCGAGTTCGTCGAGGAGACGAGGGAGGATTATAATTCACCCACCACGTCTACCTTCGTCTCGCGGATGCCACAATGCAGACAGACAATCACATCTCTCGAGGAGGTAAATCTTTTTTGCATGATTTTTGAACGAATCGAACCGAATTTTCTTTTACTTCGCATCTCCAAACGTAACCTTACAGAAGTTCTGATCGGTGGTCGAGCGCGTGTTTCAATGCGTGGGCGTTTCACAATCGCTTCATAGATATGTTTTATATATCTATGATATAAATGTGATTGATGTAATGATTTTTTGATATAATACGCCTTACATTACAATTCTTACGGAACTCTTCAATAGTGCATGCAACTTTTATTGTAATTTCTTTGCCTTGCATATCTATCAGTTTCCACATATTGATGATGTAAATATCGCTTACAGTCGATTCGCAATTTCCAGTTTAGGTAACGTACGCAGACATGCCGTCATTATTGAATTTCATCCGCGTAAGGTTAGAAGAAAATAGTGATTTAAAAGGAATTTTTAATCGTACACGCATTATATCGTTCAGATTGCCGGAAACAAGAAGTGTTTATTATTTTCTCGACCAATATATATACAGGTTTACTGATCGATGACAGTGTATTTTCGCAGTATTGCGTCCATCCATTTCTTATGACTAAACGTTACGTATTTTGAATCGGATTAATTGGTAGAATAACGAAAGCGCGTTAGAATTTATAAAATGAAAATATATATTAACATAATAATTATATTAACAATCTTCAAATATCATACTATTTTTTAATTTATTTCATTGTATTTAAAAAGATTATTTATTATAATCTTTTTATATATAAATATCATATTGTTTATAATACATGAAAATATAAACTATTCATATATTACAATTTATAAATAGATACATAAAATATTTTTTCTTAAATAACAATCTTTCTTTTTTACAATAGAATTTTTTTTTAAAGAATTTAGATTTTACATTTTTTTTTTTTTTTTTTAATATATTAAAATTCGGATATCATGAAAACTACATATTTTGTATATAATATTTGTAAAAAAAAAAAAAGTTTCATACTTTACAGCTTTTTTATTTGATAATTACATTTTAAACATTTCGATACATTTAATTATAATTTCTTCAATATAATAAAGAAATTCTTCATGTATTTAAAAATTATAATAAATCTTTTATTTCAAATTCTTTTATATACAAATTCAAAAATAGGGCGGTGTTCAAATATATTCCTAAATATATTTCGTTAGAAAAAAAAATTTTTTTTATGCGATTCATGAAGATGCAAATAATAGAACTTTTGTAATAAGAAATCGTAATGTGCCAACGTAATTATCGGTGAGGAATGTTGTTGCGAGAATCTTTTGTAATTTAAAAGCCACCATAATTCTTGCGGTTTGCGCTATTTAGCAAAAGTAACGTATATTAGCTTGAACTATGGCATCCGTTTCCAAGTTATCCGAGGTCATGAAAATTTTCACCGATGGCTGTTCGAATCGAAGCGCTTATGCAGTTCCACGCATAGACGTTATCGACATATTCTTTCGATTGCCCACCATGTTTGTTTATAGCTTAAGTTTTTTTCACGCGTTTTAAGAATTATTTTATTATAAAAAATATTTTATTTTAATTTATATATAGAAAATACATGAAAATTGCTTTATTAATATTTACAAATATAATTATAATATATTTAAAATCAATAGTAAAATGCTATAATTTTTAATGTCAATGGTTTACGATAAGATTTTCGTTTTTTTTTTTTTTTTTTTTACATTCAGTATAAATTATTTTTAAACATTTATGATAATTTATTGTATAATTACAAGATTATATTAATTCTAAAGATAAAAAAAATTTTTTCATTTTTATATTTTCCTAGCATTGAATATTATTGAATTGTAGGTTACGGAATTTATTTCGATAAATATTTTTTTACAATATAAAAGAAATTATAACTATGTTAATATAAAAATAGATATTCGTAATTTTATTGCAAAAATTACAATAAATTTAGATTATTTTATTCAAAATATCGTGTATAATGAAAATTTTTCCAAATATTTTTTGAAAATATTTAATTTTTAATAAGATATGTTACTCTATTTTAAAACAATTTTTTATTTGAGACATGAGATCTGAATTTTTTTTATTAAAAAACTGGGTCGTTGTATATTAATGTGAGCATATTACATGTATTTAGATTAGATTACGCGTGAGGTTTAATTACAATCAATAAACACTGATAATGCAAACTTTATCATTGCAACACCTCTCCTTTGCATATTATCAAAACGTGGGCGTATTTTGTAATAAGTGTAGATATGAAACTTGGCGCGGAAAGTGTGCCGCACAGTCGGAAGTGGAATTTATGCATGGAATTACTAAACTCGAAGTTTCTTTTTACAAAAGAACACTAGATTGGTGTTAAAGCCAATAGCGTAAAATATTCATTCAATAAAATATTTGATAAATATTAAAAATTATAACAAAGTATTACATTAAATAACAGTTATTTATAAAATACAAAAATAATTATAAATATATAAATATATGTATTATATCGAATTGAAAAACATAAAAAAATAAAAAATTATAAATCAATTAAATATTGTAAGTATTATCATATCAAGTATATTCATATTATATGTGTGTGTGTGTAAGAAACTAATGCAAAAAACTTTGTTCACTTGTTTATTTATTATTAATCGAGTGAATAATTACTTTTGCAAAGTTTATTAAAATTATTTCAGGTATAAAATTTCGTTTGCTGATAAAAAAAATAATATTATAATTAGTTTCTATTAATGTTTTTTATTACATTTTCTATTATATTCTTGAAATGAGAAATAAATAATTGATATAATTAACAATTTGTTTAAAAAAAAAACAATATATGTGATAAAGAAATGCAATAGATGATATAATATAAATAATATATAGATTAATAAAATACAGCTTTAAAGAATGTAAAGAATGCATTAGAAAAAATGCACGTACTTTTATTTTCCAAAATATCTTTATATCAGATTTTATATTTCATTTGTAATGATATAAAAATACGTGATTCGATTGTGATTTAATATTATATCATCTATATCTATTGGAATTTTTATTTAATTTAATTATTTATTTTCGTTATTAAATTCATATCAAATATTTCGCATTGGTTTCAAAAATGTCAATTTTTGTTTTACAACAGTTTTTCGAATTTTATAATTAAATTAGTTTCTGTCGTAAATAAACGATTAAACAAAGTATATTTATTTCGAATAAATGGAAAAATTTTCATTAATATCAATTAAGACACACAATATTTGATAAATATTTTTTATCAATATTTCTTAATCATTTTATAATACTTATAATTCTCCGTTATAATATTCTTTTAAACAATCACTGTATTGTTCTTATGTATAAATATTTAACAACACTTGCAAGAAAAATTATTAGTTTTGATAACAGTTTATGCGAATCACATGGAGCGAATGGAAAATCATACAAATTGATACGAGAGGAAACACATTAAGCAGATCTTTTTTAGAAACTTCGTATATTTTTTTTTACAATATTTTATTTTTCTTCCTAAGGATAGGGTAATATTTTTGTCGTTTATTTAATCGACTTGATTTATGGAACGCCATAATAGTAATGATGCTAATAGAATAAGTATTCTTCATGACGATAATAATGAAGGTAAGAACGGTGCTTAAAGTAATTAGGGAATTATTTATTCGAATGATTTTAATGCAATAATCAATACCCTTTCGATATTCTAAAATATGTTATTTGTAAAGAAGACAATCGTAAATTATTGGCAAAGTTATAATAACTATGAAATAAATTTCAAATAAAATTTTCGATAAACGTAAAATTGCAATTTATATATATTTTTTTTTTTACATTTTAAAAATTTTATAGTTCAAGTAGCATTCCATTTTAATCTTCAATCGAATCAGAAACAGAATCTCGATTGGAAAATTTCCATAATATGTGTAAAATATGCATATGTTATTTTTAGTTAAATTTTTTAATATAATTTTTTAATAAGTTTTTATTCTTTTCCTTTTTCAAGATTTTATAAATTATTATTTTCTAAATTTATTATTAATTTTACGAGTATTTAATATTCTATTAGATAATTTAAAAAAATCGATTTTTAATTTAATTTGTACTTAAGTCATCTTAAGTATAAAACGGAGAAATGGAGATTTATAAATAGCATGAACATGAAACGATAAATTATCACAATTGGTCGTAAAATGCAACATTATTATCATGGCAATAAATAATGTTCCTTCGATGTATATTTATTATATTCGATGAATCAATAGTAAATACAATGAGCAGAATCTGTTTGCTTTCTTTAACTTATGTAAAAATATTATTTCGAAATATGTATCATAAGAGAATAATAAAAAGTTTAAGTGGTATAAGTTCTGAAAATGAATTTATACCAATGTAAATTTAAATAACATAAATTTCACAAATCTATAAAATTTCAAATTCAAAATAAATATTGCAATACAGCAGGAATTCATAGACATTTCTTCAAGCACAAACTTTTCAAGTTATTTTAAAACAATATTATCGTTCAAAAATATTTCCACATGGATGGAAATTCGATTTTCATTGCTTTCCAATGGAGTGCACGAAGTAAAGGAAAAATCTTCGAGAAAATAACGCGTGTATGTGTGTATGTGTGTGTGCGTGTTACTTTTGCCTTGAAAGTCGATACCTGTACACTTATACCAAGTTACTTTTACGATGCAATTCAAGACTTGGTGCTTTCTTGCAAATTATACTCGACCACTTCCTTCTGCTTTGATGCGCCACCAGCTTCCGGGTCAGTTCGTTTTCTCCTGCTTCTCCTTAACGATCTGGAGGACTTCCCACAGGCTGCGTGTGATCATCAAAGCAATCTGTTTCTCGAGTAATTTTTTCATAACATAAAAATGGAAATAGATTTACTTCTTGAAGAATTTTTCTTCAAAATCGAGATGGTTTATTTTATTTTGAGATTTTAAGATTTAAAGAAATGTGGAATTTTAATGGTAGAGAAAGAAGTAAGAGATTCTTCAGTTTTATG